ACGGTTAGTTGTGGTAGCCCCAGGGGTGACAGCTCTGTCAGGCCATTGTAATCCACCACGTTAGGATTGATGTTCGTAGAGCTTTAGGCAGCCTTTCCCCAATTACGCTTTCTCACCCCTCGAGAGTTGGAAAGGTACTATTGCTCCAAAGTGTTATTGTGTGTGATTGCTATATCTATCCATGAATTAGTTATACCCTATAGAACCAAAGTAATAGAGAAGTACTTAGGAACCTTAAACTCACCGTTGTTCTCTCAACTTAGCTAGACTGCTCATTTACTTTACCATGGAATTCTCTTATGTGTGTGTTATTCATAACTCTTATCATTATCATCACTTACTCTCACTTTAGTTTAGTTGGTAAACTAGTTAGTAGATACATGATGGTGAGCTATCGACTTCCTTAACCATTGTTTCCCTATGAAAAAATACGATACTCTGGAATACTCCCGGATGAAAGCTACAGCGGTATTCGTGACGCTTATGAATTTATTTATGTGCGTTTAAAAATACCAACAGAGAGAGAGAGTAGCGCGGGGAGCACCATGGCTGCCGGATTTGTGGGCATTGGGGGCTCCCGGTGAGGGAGGACGCCGGTGTAGGGAGAGAGGCGCTGAGCCATATGCCGATTCGGGGATGCCAGAAGCCCCATACAGTAGGTTTGATGATGCTTGCTGCAAACGACTGATTCATCGTTCATGGACGACCCAACATATAGGTTCCGTTTGGCTTGCTGAAATTTGGTTGAATTGGTTGAAAAACACTGCTCTGACTGAATTGTTGTGAGAGAAAAAAAAATTCTGGCTGAAAAATAAGCTGAATAGTATAGATTATTAGGCTGAAAAAACAAGGTAAGTCAAACGGGGCCACAAGGACGGCCGAGAAGGGAAAGTATAAGGTCAGCACGTACGTACTGTTTTCTACTCTACACGACAGGACAGCACGAACGTACTGTTTTCTACTCTACACGACAGGACAGCACGAACGTACTGTTTTCTACTCTACACGACAGGACAGTCCGGTATTTTCCAAATTTCCACACGCGGCGAGCGGGTCAGGAATTAGGAATAGCCGAGCTGCCCTGACCATGGCTGGCTGACGAGCGACGAGACGACGCGAGCATGCCTGCCCTCCGACCCGACCCGACCCAGCGTGTTGACCATGTCCGCTTGATTAATCTCTCTCTCTCCAATCAACGTGTAATAGTAATATATAAATCTGTCAGCCCGCCGCCACGGTACCGTCGGTACAACATGGAACGAGACGGAGTTTTGCACGCCGCGTGTTTAGGCCTTGTTTAGATTGAAGAAAATTTCAACCCGATGAATAGTAGCACTTTCGTCTTATTTGGTAAATATTGTCCAATCGTAGATCAACTAAGTTCAAAAGATTCATCTCGTGATTTCCAACTAAACTGTGCAATTAGTTATTTTTTTTACCTACATTTAATGCTCCATGCAAGCGGCTAAAAATTGATGTGATGGAGAGAGAGTGAAAAAACTTGGAATTTGGGAGTAATATAAACAAGGCCTTAGTTCCAAAATTTTTTCCTATAAAGTGCTACAGTATCCATCATATCGAATCTTGCGATACGTGCGTGAAGCATTAAATGTAGACGAAAAAAAACTAATTGGACAGTTTGGTTGGAAATTACGAGACGAACGCTTTGAGCCTAATTAGTCCATGATTGAACACTAATTGCTAAATAAAAACGAAAGTACTACAGTAACCCAAATTCCAAACTTCCCTCAACTAAACACGCGCTTAGGGTCATCTCGGTCGCAGCCTGACTGTCTGTCTCTGAGTCCATCAGACTGTCTCCAACGAGAAACTATATGGACACCTAAACCTAAAATAGTTAAGAAGAAATCTAAAATCAGCATCTAATATAGTACATGTACGGAGACCTATTTTGGGTTGTCTGAGAGACACAACCTAAATATGGACATCCTCTCTTCTGGAAACCTATTTGCAGAAATGATTTTCTTTTGGGTCTTGTTGTTGGAAAAGATGTCGAATAGGTATTGAACTTTTTGCCTATAACGCTATCTAAAAGACGAATGGATCTTATATTTTAGGTGTTGTTATTGGAGATAACCTTAAAACAAGAGATTTGGGTTAAAAAAAAAATGCATGCACTTTGCCGTGCATACTCAACCATCTTGGCCTTCCTTTCCTTCAGCTGGATTATAGTACAACAAAGGTTTTGCATAGAAGCAATCTTTTCTGTCTGTATATATTAAAAAAAACGCGCAACAGTAGAATTGTGGATGTCAAAGTCAACCACGCAACCTGCGGTCGTACTGCTACTACAAGACCCAAGTGGCATTCACAGCCAAGACCCAAGTGGTGTTCACCGCTGTAAATTGCCTTGTCTGTGCTGTTAAAATTCAGGAACTACAATTTAGAAATATGGGTGTTACAAACGATTGTCTCAGAGTAATAATAAAATAAATTATAGAAGTCTTCAGTAATCCACAAGATAAATTTATTAAGTCTAATTAATCCATCATTAGCATATGTTACTGTAGCATCATATTGTCAAACCATGAGCTGATTATGCTTAAAAAATTCGTCTTACAAATTAGTCGTAATCTATGTAATTAATTATTTTTTTATCTATATTTAATACTCTTACATGTACATGTGTCAGATATCCTATGTAATAGGGAGCAAACTTTAACCTGACAGCGATAGACTTCTGTTCGTACTCTGGCCAAGGCCGCAAGTGCAGGGAGGCTTGCGACGCACAGCACTCCCGAAAGGCCGAAAGGGATCAAGCGGTTGCTGTGCAGAGCGGGTAACATGGATCCTCCTCTATATATACGCCTAGGCATCAGGCATGATGTCCCAAGGTCCAACCACATCTGCGTGCAAGTGGTCCAGAGCTTTCAGACCAGGTAAGAGCACCGTACGACCGGAGCCGTGCGTGCACCGCTGATCGGACGGCGGCGGAGGATCGATCACGGTCCATCATTTAAGGGTATGTACATGGAATTGGAGGGCAGGTACATTGCTACACGTTAGTTGTCTCGTATGTCGTCTCATGTAGTGTCACGTAGAATATTTGCTTATGCGGAGGAAAGAGAGAGGGGTGAAAGAAAGAGGTCGTTGTTTCGCGAAACAACCACCTCATAAGCTAAATTTTAGGACTATAAGATAACTTACACACTATTATATGAGTTGTTGCCATACAACTCACAAGCATTTCATTATTGTTTCCACAAATTAAGGACTCTATAGTTACTATGAGACAACTTAAAAGATAATCCATTATACTTGTTACCTCTTAAGTCATCTTATAATTACGTGACACTACATAAAACTATTTATAAGACAATACCAATGTACCTGCCCTGACTGTCAGGGATCAAGCAAGTTCACGAACAGTTTGGTCCAAAACCGTGGCCACAGGCCACCCAACCCAAAAAAAAACTCCTTTTCTTCTTGACAAAAAGACGCCCAACCCAAAACAACTTCTTATCTTACCATTAACAGCTCGTTTAACACATGACAGCCCCGCCCGCACGACGTAACCGCAACCGCAACCGCAACCGCATGGGGGGCGCGTGGACCGGGCCCATGGACCGGTGGCCAGGGGGGCCAGGCCACCGCACGGCCCAGAGCAAGCGTACAAACCGGGGAGGCTTGGACGGTCCACGGCCGGGACCACTATGTGTCAACTAACTCTGGCTCCCTGACGCGCGGGCCCTCCCCGGTGGCTAAAAACAAACAGCCAACGAAAAGGCCCTGCCCATTGGGCGAGCGGCGCCAGGGTTTTCACCAAACTGTTCGGTTCCCGGCGCTGGTCGGGCCCGCGTGTCAGCCGAACGGCCGTGAACTCGTGCTCAAACTCTCAAAGGGGCCGTGCCTTGAGTAGTCCATGACCCGTCAGCAACGTAACCCATACCACCCTAGCCGTTGCCGGTAAAAGCTCACCCGGTATATGACCAAAAACCGCCACTGTCATATTAATAATCTCCAGCAAAACTACAGAAAACTATGAATCAATGCAGGAGCGTCAACATCACTGATGAACATATATAGCAAGTATGAGTCAGTTTTCGCGCATGCAACGTTGCAATTTCATGGGCACGAAACAGCGATGTGTGAGAAAGATTAGCCCGGTTCGGTTGGCTGGTTCGTTTCGTTGCTGGTTTGTGAAGAAGTACTGCTGGCTGGTTTGTGTGAGAGAAAAATATTATTCTGGCTAGAAATTTACGATCATTTACGATAAGCCACAGCCAAACAACCAGGCCAATTAGCATTAGCATTTTACTAGAATCCAGATGGTAACAAAGGTACCGTACCATCGAGGGCAATAGCAGCACGCACCAAACAAAAGTTACCTGTTTAGTTTTTAAAATTTTTCACCCTAAAATATCAAATCGAATCTTACGGCACATGCATGGAGTACTAAATGTAGACGAAAATAAAACTAATTGTATAGTTAGGTGAGAAATCGCTAGATGAAACTTTCAAACCTAATTAGTCCATAATTAGACACTAATTATCAAATACAAACAAAAATACTACAGTAGTCAAACCCCAAAAATTTTACCAACTAAACACGTCCTTACCAAACTATCCCTTACGTACTTTTGCCAAAGATAGCAGGTCTGTTCGGCAGGACTAAAAAATACTATTTCGACTAATTGTTGTGAAAGAAAAATATTATTCTAACAGTGATTTCGTAACCGAATAAGCCAGCCAGCCAGCAATAAACCAGCCGAACAGCCTCAACAAGCTGATACTACAGTCACTTGCTGCTTCCTGCGACTGCTACTAGCATCCTATCCAATCAATTAATAACGATTACTGACAGCTACTAGTAGCTGATTAGCTCATGGTAACATCACCAGCAGAAGACGAGTTAAAGAAAGAATGAACAGCACCGGATTGTGATTGGCCAATTTGCCTTTCTTCAGGGTTCCTGCGCCCTCGTCGACGGGACGACGGCGGCTCACGGTGCTTGATTCATGGGTCGGCGACGCAGTCTCTCACTGGTCATCCGGCACCCGGTAGGTCTCGGCGGTGATCTCCGACAGCCACGAGCCGGGGAATAGCATCTGGGGACGCAAGGTTTTACGAAATTACAAACGGGTCCCTGGAACAGGGCAAAGGGACGGAGCGGAGGAGGCCGGAGGGAGGGAGGGAGCGGGGACTCACATCGAGCTGCTTCTGCACGCGGCGAGGCCGCCGCCTAGGGCGGCGGCGCGGCCGCGCGCCCGTCACGGAGTAGATGTCCTCCTCGATCTCCTCGCTCGTGAGCGTCACGGAGAACCGCGCCCGGTCCAGGGCCTCCGCGCAGGCCCGCGACGGCCTCCGCTCGTGCGGCGGCGGCGGCGACATGCTCGCGGACGGCGCCGCCACCTTGGAGCGCCGCCGGGTGCGCAGCTTCCACGGTGGCAAGGCGGGGGCGGCGGCCTCCTCCGCCGCCGCCACGTGGTCCGCGTCGGCGGCGTCGCTGCTCCCTGCTTCCACCTCGTGGAGATGGCTCAGCGCCTTCTCCTCGACCACGGCGAGCTTACCCGGGGAGCGCCTGGCGGTGGCGTCACCGGCGCGGTTGACGTGGGCGCAGCGCAGGGCCCGGTGGCTCCCCCACGCCTTGAGCGACGGGAACGAGGAGAACGCGGCGGCCTGGCGGGCGTTCGACGTGGCCGCGGCCGCCGCCGCCTCCACCGCCGCGGCTTCGGCGACGGGATCCGGGGGGGGCGGCTCGGCCGAGATTACCATGGCCGTGGGCGACGTGGCTGCGACGCGCTCCGATGCGGGAGCAACCCTTGGCGGCGGCGTAGAGAGGAGCGTGTGGGACGTGGCGAGGGGAAGGGAGGAGGCGAGGAGACGAAGACGAGACGAGAGGGAGGTGCGTCCTCGGCCCTCGGCGATGAAAGTGTGGGGAGAAAGGAAAAATACATGGAATAGTGGGTGTTGGTGATGAATAAATATTGAGGGCGTGTGCGTTGAGGGCTTGACGGGTATTTCGTATTTCAGTGTTGTCGATTTTTTTTCCCTTCTGCGATTTTAGATGAAACGATGCGTGCTCTCTCTCTCTCTCTCTCTCTTACCAGTGCGTACTGTGTTGATGTTGACGTAGATGATTGGATGGACGGTGAGTTGCACTCAGCAGCTGCATCTGCACCGGAGTGCTGGGTTATAGTGGCATGCAACGCCGCGTGTGGTATTGTGTTCGTTTCTTTGTTTTCCTATTCTTTGTTTTAGACTTTTTTTTCTTAAAAATATTGTAGTCTAAGTTTCATGCTAAGGATTATTTTAATTTTGATGATTAGGTTTTAGAGTTATAGAATCTTTCCAAAATAAGGAAAATCGTCTAAGGAGTCAGGTTTACTCGACGACAATAATGGTTAGTGTAGTGTGGCATGCTAAGGCATCACACGTCGTTGGTGGCGTATTATTAGCGTGGAAAGCAAGTAATAGAGGATTTGATAATAAGAGTGAAGGGTCCAAGATAGAAAAGGAAGCAATGCGGCAGCATTAGGTCACGAGAAGATGATGAGCAAGTTGGAATACATGTCCAAGTAGAGCTCGAGTCACATTATGATGTTTTGGCTTCATTACATTGTAACATTTACTCTTTTATTAGAATTCTATGTTTATCATTTTTTCCTTGCTTATGTTAACTCTTTTTTTTAGAAATTGCAAGCAAGTTTGTTTAGTCGTAGAGGGACTTCGTTGCTCATTTATTGGTCACAACTCACAAACAAGAAGTGGGTTTTGGTGTACAGAAGAAGTTGTTCTTTGTACCATCGTGACACGTAAAGTTTAGCAGAGCATGTCTCTTATTATTACTTACCGGGCACAAGCGTAGCATATAGCACATCAAAATGGCGGAAAAAAATGGTTCTAATAACGTACAGGTACAGTACTACATGGATTACTCATGTAAGGTGCAAGAATTTCTAGCCACGGCCGCTTGTTTTCGTAACACCAGCCGCCCTGGATGAATAGATCGAGGACGCAACAAAAAGAGAGCGTGCTTGGTATGACGACGGAAAGCGATATGGCCCCGAGGGGATTCCTTGACGATCGTTGGCAAAGTACCGTGGTCTTGTACGCAAAGAAGCCCAGTCTGAGGGGGGCAAAACGGGTAAGGAGATTTTTATTATGCTCTGGCCGAGTGGCGAGTGGCCGGCTGGCCGGCGCGGTGTGGCGCTCGCTGGCTGAGTTGGCGCTGCCTGCCGCACCCAGACCCAACGCGACCTGCAGATGGGTGCGGGCGCGCGCCGGAAAAAGATTGGATGATCCAGTGTCCACTCAAACTCCATGTATACTTCCACTCAATGGCTGACACGTGTACATGTATTTTAGAGAGTGGTGCTACGGTTGATTCTCCAGCCGGTGATACCTGCAACTGACTAAAACAAGGTGGAGAGGCGCTTCACAGGATGAAAGTATGATCTGCCGCCTATCAACGTGTCCTCCATCCAGTGGAAGTATGCACAGGTTCTGGCTGGATACGGGATCTACCCAAATTTTTTTCCGCGCGCCCCGCACAAGCACAACCACCTGCGCGTTTATTAATAACGCCGTCATTTCCGGACGGGATGCCCAACCAACTGTCTGACATGTGGGACCAAGGAAACAACCGCATTGCCTGGCCCCACATGTTGGTTTCGCTTGTACGCAGCGCCCGTACCGTTTCTGTCGCTGTAGCCCTGTACCAGTAAGCACTTGCAATTTGCATCATCGAAGGCCAACGGGTTTGGGGGACGGGAACGGAACGACGCGGCGTGCGGGGATGCCACTGACGCGTGGGCCCTAGGATTCGGGGCCCTCGTGTCAGCATGTATGATGCATGGTGCCATGCTGGTCTGGACTCTGGACGTCTCAGCCAGCCAGCCAGACAGTCTCAAAGGTTCGAATGTTCACAAATCACAAGGGCGCTGCCGCTGCGGGCTGCGGCAGGCGTTCACGTGACCCGCTCGCCGCCGGGCGAGTCGTTGTTGAGGCTGCTCGCGACTGCGTGGCTGTCAGCCAGTCGGTCGCGGCTGCCATGTGGGGGCCCGGCAGCGCCCACCTCATGGGATGCAGAGCACGGGGAGCTTTCGCGATGCGACTGACCGACTGTTGATTCTTGTCTGAGGCCCGGTTTAGATAGCTGTTACGAATTAGTATTTGGCGGATTGTGAAAGTATTTTCGCCGCCTTTGTATTTTATAATTAGCGCCACCGGTAATCCCCATCTCGGGCAGATCGTGCTAAGGCCAGCAGGAAAAGAAGGATCGCCGTAATTTACAATCAAACTGTGTAATTAGTTATTTTTTAGGAGTATATTTGGGGCGCCACGGAATGCGTGTGTTTAAAAGATTTAATCTTTGGATGGATGGAAAAGAGGCGTGAAAAAACTTGGAATCTAGGCAAGCGCCTTTAGGGACCTGAGATGGGTGGGCGGCTGAGAGACCGAGAAGAAGATCTGCTTGGACGTGTTGTGATGAGACAAATTTTAACAACCTTTTTACGTACGTGAAACGGATCTCTACTGTTGTCCTTGCCGTGTTGCGTGTCTTTCGGTGCTTGAGTTCTGCTGTTGCATGAAACGGATTCCTCGGCAGCATCAACGAGCAACATCAGATATCTAGTCTCTCGTTTGTGTCGTTCGCTCGGTGGGCCATTGCAAGAGCATCTCCAGCAATACTGTCTAACTACCTATTTCTTTCTTTGCATAGCCACCTGGTCTGGACTTTTATATTATCCAAGCCACTTCCAGTCTCAAAGGTTCGAATGTTATCAAATCACAAGGGCTACCCAAATTCGGGCTGCGGCAGGCGTTGTATGTCATCCTTCGCCGCCAGGCAGTCGATGAGGCTGCTCGCGACTGCGTGGCTGTCAGCCAGATGCCATGTGGGGCCCAGCAGCGCCCACGCATGGGATGCAGAGCACGGGGAGCTTTCGCGATGCGACTGACCGACTGTTGATTCTTCTCTGATTTCTGCCTTTCTGGCCTGCTGCGTGCCTGTAGATTCGTTCGTGGTCAGGACTGTTCAACCAGCGTGTGCTTCTCTGCTCGGACGTGTTGTGATGCGACAAACCCAACAACACCTTTTACGTACGTGAAACGGATCTCTACTGTTGTCCTTGGAGAGAAGATTTGGGTGTTGAGTTCTGCTGTTGCATGAGGAATGGGTTCCGGGAAGGCATTTGGGAGCAACATCAAATATATAGGGTCTCGTTTGTGTCGTTCGCTCGGTGGGCCATTGCAAGAGCATCTCCAGCAATACTGTCTAACTACCTATTTCTTTCTTTGCATAGCCATCCATGTTTATACTATCCAAATTTTACTTTCAACTTCAGCAATACTACCTAAAACGAGCTACCCAAATTCATCCTAACAGAGAATGCATGTCATCCTTCTTCTCGCCATGGATGGAAAAGCGTCAGGTGAACAGAGATGTTCACAATACAGTTAAATAATGCACATTAACCTTATGAACGCACTACGTTTACATAACTGATCCACTTGTTGTTACGAATATTAGTGGTAAAAAGAGAGAGAATCGTGGTGGAGAGAGAGGATTTATAGTCCCTCTCCGGCCAAAAGGGAACGCAGTATGCTTTTATATAATTCAATCAATTTATTAGTCAAGTAGGTATACACTTCAATCAGACACGCCTGCCCTAGCAAATATTACAATATTTTTTGAAATCCACGAATCGGTCAAATGGAGATGCTTATATCCCCTTCTTAAGGAATCCAAGCAGAGTTTCATATGCACTTTATACTTGAATCTCACAAGGCCTTGTTTAGATTGAAAAATTTCAACTCGATAAAAATCATAGCACTTTATGTTCACAATACAGTTAAATAATGCACATTAACCTTATGAACGCACTACGTTTACATAACTGATCCACTTGTTGTTACGAATATTAGTGGTAAAAAATGATAGAATCGTGTTCTGTTTCACAGGATATAGTCTATGTAGCAAAAGGTCACGCAGTATGCTTTTATACAATTCAATCATTTTCTTAGAGAAATTATACACTTCAATCAGCACACGCCTCTAGCAAATATTACAATATTTTTTTGAAATCCACGAATCGGTCAAATGCCTTATTATATCCCCTTCTTAAGGAATACAAGCAGAGGTTTCATATGCACTTTATACTTGAATCTCACAAATATGCATTTTATACGAATCTCAGAGCATATCAACCGCTTCCCACTTCCCACCATCTCGTCCTGCCGGCTGGGCCCTACCGGTCCCCGTACATCGCAGCAGTCAGCAGCAACCGCCTGATGAATTTTGCTCTGAAGCAACCAACCGCTTCAGACTTCAGAGTCCAAAACCGCTCGCGTTGCGCCCTGTCCCTCCATCACCACCACCACTTCTTCCTCCACCCCTGCTCTGCTTCGTTCGAACTCCTCTCTTCCCTCCTCGTCTCAGTGTCTCACCCACCCCACGATCCGAGAACGCGATCGCCATGGACCAAGACGAGCGCGAGGTCCCTGACCTGCCCGAGGGGAAGGAGAAGGAGCAGGGAGGCGATGCTCCGGTGCCGCGCGGGGTGGCCGGTGCCGGGCGCGGCATGGCGCGCGGGGCCGCTTCATCGGAGCAGGAGGGCGTCTCGGGGGCGGGCAATGCCGGTTGCCATGTCGCTGCTGGATCGGAGAGCGACGAGGAGGAGGATCCTGAGTCGATCTTTGCTTCGGTGAGGCGAGCAGCGATTCTGCATTCCGGAATGCCCCGTTCTTGATTTCGTTCTTGGTTCGTTGTA